GGATCTGGGCCCAACTTAAATGCCTCTATGCAAATATACACAGCATGGGGAACAAACAAGAGGAGTCAGAGATGCGCACACGCTTGCAGAGCTATGATCTTATTGGCATCATGAAGGACCCCTGTGACTGGACTGTTGGAATGGAAGGATGCAGGCTCTTTAGGAAGGACAGGCAGTGGAGATGAAGAAGGGGTCCTGCCCTCTATGCCAGTGACCAGCTGGAGCGCATGGAGCTCCACCTGGGGATGGATGAGGAGCCCACCGAGAGCTTATGTGTCAGGACTAAAGGCAGGGCAGGAACAGGTGACATTATAGTGGGGGTCTGCTACAGGCCACCCGACGAGGATGAGGGATGAGGCCCTCTATAAGCAGATAGGAGGAGCCTCATGTTCACAAGCCCTGGACCTCCTGGGAATTTTCAACCACCCAGACACCTGTTGGCGGGACAACACAGCAGGGTATAAGCAATCCAGGAGGTTCTTGAATGCGTTGATGATAACTTCCTCCTCCAAGTGACAGAGGAGCCAACGAGGAGAGGCGCGATACTGGACCTTTTTCTCACCAACAAGGAGGGGCTGGTGGGGAATGTGAAGCTCAAGGGCAGCCTTGGCTTCAGTGACCATGAAATGGAGGAGTTCAAGATCCTTAGGGCGGCGAGGAGGGCACGCAGCAAGATCACTATCCTGGACTTCAGGAGAGCAGACTTTGGCCTCTTGAGAGTGCTGCTTGGTAGAGTACCATGGGATAAGACCCTGGAGGGAAGAGGGACCCAAGGAAACTGGTTAATATTTGAGGATCACCTTTTCCAAGCTCAGGATCGATGCATCCCAACAAACAGGAAGTCAGGCAAAAACACCAGGAGGCCTGCATGGATGGACAAGGACCTCTTGAACAAAGTCAAGCACAAAAAGGACACCTACAGAGGGTGGTAGCAAGGACAGACAGGTAGCTTGGGAAGAATACAGAGAAATTGCCCAAACAGCCACGGTTCAGGTTAGGAAAGCTAAAGCCCTGATAGAATTAAATCTGGCCAGGGATGTCAAAGACAAGAAGAAAGCTTCTATAGGTATGTCATCACTGATAAAAGGAAGACTAGGGAAAATGTGGGCCCTCTCTGGAAGTTAACGGGACACCTGGTTACCCAGCATATGGAGAAAGCTGAGGTACTCAATGACTTCTTTGCCTCAGTCTTCACCAGCAAGTGCTCCAGCCACACTGCGTAAGTCGCAAAAGGCAAAGGCAGGGAGTGGAGAATGAAGAACCGTCCACTGTAGGAGAAGATCAGGTTTGAGACCATTTAAGGAACATGAAGATGCACAAGTCCATGGGACCTGATGAGGTGCATCCAAAGGTCCTGAGGGAACTGGCAGATGAAGTTGCTAAGCCACTGTCCATCATATTTGAGAGGTCGTGGCAGGCTCGTGAAGTTCCCACTGATTGGAAAAGGGGAAACATAACCCCATTTTTAAAATGGGAAGAAAGGAAGACCTGGGGAACTACAAGCCAGTCAGTCCCACCTTGGCGCCCGGCAAGATCATGGACCAGATCTTCCAGGAAACTATGCTAAGGCACATGGAAAATAAGGAGATGACTGGTGACAGCCAACACGGCTTCACTAAGGGCACATCGTGTCTGACAAATGCGGTAGCCTTCTGTGGTGGGGTTACAGCGTTGGCGGATAAGGGAACAGCAACTGACATCATACACCTGGACTTGCGCAAAGCATTTGACACTGTCCCGCACAACATTCTTGTCTCCAAACTGGAGAGACATGGATTTGACGGACAGACTACTTAGTGAACAGGGAATTGGCCAGATGGTTGCACTCAGAGTTGCAGTCAACGGCTTGATGTCCAAGTAGAAAACAGTGACGAGTGCATCCCAGGATATGGTTGGCTTTCTGGGCTGTGAATGCACATTGCTGGATTATGCCCAGTTTTTCAGCTGCCAGTATCCCCAAGTCCTCCTCCTCCTGGCTGCTCCCAATCCCTTGATCCCCTAGCCGGTATTGATACTAGAGGTTGCCCCAACCCATGTGCAGGACCCTGCACTTGGCCTTGTTGAACCTCAGGAGGTTCACACCAGCCCACTGCTCGAGCACGTCCAGGTCCCTCTGAATGTCAGAAATCTTTCAGGGAACACATGAAGTTCTGAACTGGCCTTACTGATTACTGCAGGTCCTGCCAGGTCTTTCTGTTTTTCAGTGTTTTACAGTGATATTTTTTTAAGTTCAAATTAAAAGATTTGCAACTGGATATATATGGCTATCTTTTTTTCACTGAATGAAAATGAGAAATCAAATAGTGAATACAACTTCTTTAAATACTGTATTACTAAAAAGTGTAAACTTAAAATTTTAAAAAATATTTGAAGTAAATTCAATAAGAAGTAGGTGATAAAGCTGACTATATGAGTTATTTAGGTAGCAGTTTAAAAGGGGCCATTGTGAAGAAGTCCATAAATGAAGTTTAAAAACCATAAGGCATTACTGCTTAAAGAAATGTTACCTATAGTAGAAAAACAGTTAAACTCCAGCAGCCCTTGTATATTATAACTTCAGGTGACTGAAGCTCGCCACCAGAGGGAGCCCACATAATCTGTTACAAAGAACATCACTGTAGAAAGAGATATTTCAGCTATACAGATGAGAGTTTAAGAAAATAATTGCCTATATCTAGAAAACTTTACTGTAAATTGTTTTTAGTCCATGCACTAAAACATCTCCTCATTACTTAATTTCAGATTAATTCTTATTTTTACAGATACAAATAAAAGCAAGTGAACTCTCCTATGAAGAACTATAGCTAGATTACACTGAAATAAACTGAAATACCTTGTTATGCATTACTTGTTTAGTTTCTTTTGTTCTCAAAATTCAGTATTTCAGAAAGCAGCCCACAATCTTACTTAGTGTACTAGTCCACAAATTATATGGAAGGGAGAAGGCCTACATAGTCCTGGGGAATTTTAAAGTACCTTCTTCAAACATATTTAGGACTGGAATCTTAAGCTACAGTGACAACCATAATATTTTTTTGTTGTGTACGCCAAGCCAGTATCATTTTTACATTTAATATTTAGATTTATCTGAGCAATCATCTCTTTCTCCAGCCTAGTTAATAAACACATCACATACAGAAAGACTTCCAACATTTGCGCCATGAGTTGAAACACCTTTTGTTAAGAACTGTGCTCAAATGTAGAAAAGTACTTTTTTAATCAAGAAAAAGCAGTCCTTACCACACTGGATGTTTCAGTTTAATTCTTGGAAGGCTGATACCTCACTTCGCCTTCAAAATCTTTGTAACTGTCAAAACTGTACGATTCGAAGTTAACAGAATGAGTACGATAGAAGCAGTAACCTTAATTAACATCACTAGTGGTCTGTGTCTCTAGTTTTTGACACTTCACGACCTTTTGTGAATTTATATTCTGTTACTGCTGAATTTGCCTGTGCTCTCCTTCTGCACCATGACTGCTTTACAAAGTGGATCTCAATACAACAACTTAACACTGTAAAAGAAAATTCAAGTTGCATACATTTCCACACTAAACACACTATCTTTTCTTAGAATACTTTGCTACTAAAAGAGCTGAAGAAGTGAAATTTGCTGTAGCAAAAGCGTTTATTTAGCCCCAGAGATACAAATGGGATTGGTAGAACTCTGTAAAGTAGCAAGTAAGTACAGAGTGTGTATAACTTCACCCACTAAATTAAAAATTGAAGTGTTACTTTTCTTATGGTTACTCTGTTGTCTAGCAAAAAACCCACACTAATAACATTGAAGACTTGAAGTGCACAGCACTCTAAGATACAGTAGCAAGAGTCTTGGTAACCCAGGGAGTCAGAATCCTAAATACAAGGTGGATATCTCTAACCACAACATTTCAGCAACAGCAAGTCAAAGAGATCTGAACACTGACTTGTCACGTGTCTTTTCAGACCAACTGAACTTGAACTCCCGAAGTTCATACTTTTTGTTTCTTAATCTTTACTGAAAAATTGCAAAATACACAGGAAACATTCAAGAATTGTTCCATATATAATCTTACCTCAGCTCACTCGTACCTCAGCATTAGTGGATCACAGAAAGAATATGAAAAAATGTCATGTTAAAAGTACCTCACAGAGGCACTGTAAGATACCTAGCAATCATATTTAACAATTTAATATAAATTCTCAAGATCTACTCTATTATGTACATCCCTGCTCTGAAAAATATCTTTGTGCTTCTGTATTAGACGACAGAGATGCTAGTCAGGACTCCCAGTGCTGAAGAAAATAGAAAACAGTACTACTGAATTCCTGTATACACACACCTTGTGACTGCATATTCACGCCAAAATACTGAAGTGAACTCTATTTTCCCTATAATGCCAGACACACAATACTGTGAAATTGTATTGTTAATCCAGTCCAGGAACGTCTGACACACCACACCCAGCCAGCAGTACTTGCAGGAAGCACTACTCAGTTTGCTGCTTAGTAAAGAAACAATCTACACACAATCTATTAAAATGCATAATTTTGTAAGCTAACCAAATAAATTGATGCAACTGTTCCAACAGTTCAATAAGCAGCTTTAGACATCTGTTTTGAATATGTACATAAATTTATATTAAAGTTTTGAAAAATAATTTATGCAGAAACACATAGCAGACAACACATAGTTTGTGCACAGAACTTCAGCTTCTTGACAAATTTCACTGATGTATCAAGAACAGTATAGTTTAGAAGCTTTCTTGAAGGTCTACATAGAGGGAATCTGAGCTACAAACTGCCATGCTTTATGAACACGTACTACAGGTGCATAATAAGTTGTGTGTTATCAATTTCTACTAATCATTTAGTATCAAAGCTAACGAATTCTGAGAATTTGAAATTGTAAGTACAATAAAAATGTAACACATTAATAAATAAGTGTTTGGCCTTTTATTAGGAGTGGAAAGCTACAGTTTTAAATTCAACATTTCCTACTTTGTTATTTATAATCTCTTACCAGGTCTTTCCTTGCCAGTTCCTTTTGACTCAGCAAATTTCTGTATTAAACTCTCAACTGTCGTATTTGTCATGTTATTAATAAACTCTTCGTGCACCTTCAAAAAGACCCACATCAGATACAAAAGAATTTAAAAAACAGTAACTGAAAGAATCTATCTTTAAAAAGTGATTTTCTCTAAAGTTACGGTTCAAAATACCTCCCTCTAAAATACATTACAAGACTTCCAGAAATCAACAGGCAGTTTACCAAGGAAATCCCTTCTTTGCTTTAATATTAGCAAGTGTGTACAATACAGATACAAATTAGGAATCAAAACACAGGGTTTGATGATGCACCTAGGATTTATTTCCATTTCTTCCATCTAAATGACCTATTTTCTGAATTTGGTCAGCAACATGTCCCACTACAACGTCAGGAAGACAAGCAGCCTCTTCAGCCAGCACCGGTTAAGGGTGTGAACTGTTACTACTGTATTATCACAGCTCCCACCTGCTTGAGTAAAAGCATTACTGTTGTAATGTTTTTGGTCTGACAAAGGAACCACCAGATGTTAATAAGAAGTTTTTCCAACAAGATCATACGTATATGCTTGAGAAATAAATAGCATGACCCTTGTGACCATCATTCTTATCAGAAAACCTCAAAACTGAGGAAAATGGTGACTAAGTATATGCAAACAAAACTACACCTCAAAACATGTAAAAATTAAGGACTACTTAGGAGGATCGTTAATTAAACTAATTTAAATCTAAACAAAAGATACTATAAAACTTCCATTACTGAAGAACCTTTGCTCATAAAACCAAAGTGCATAAAAAATTTGGAAACTTTTCAGAGTGATACAGTTTCAAGTTTTAGTCAAAGAAAAGCACAAGTATCCTGATTATGTATGAAATGAGTGTCAATTTAATATCTAGAGAACAGAACTTTGAAACACTGAAAATTCTTAAAATTGTCAAAATATTTTGTTTCATGTTAAGACAAAATTTATTCAGACTTATTCTGTAAATTTTGTGATACTGAACTTATAACTGCAACAGGAAGCCATAAAAATTTGAGCTCATGTTAAATTTACCAGCATTTGAAAGATGTGATCTTGTAATTATCGCAAACACAGTAAGACATGTTCTCTTTAATAGTAAAGAAAAATATGTAGCATAATCCAAACAAACGATAATATAAAAAATTACCTCTCCTATTTGTAAATGAATTTCTTTTATGGTATTTGACAACGATTCTATAATCTCTTTCATACGAAGAAGGTGCGTTTCTTCAATGTCTTGAAATTTCTGTAAACCAATACAAGCAATTAATTGTAATGAAAATATTTCTTGAAATACTAAACCTTAAACTGTAATCATGAAATACACAAAACGAAAAAAAAACCCCACAAAGTCCCTTTTTTTTTCAGATCTTGATCATGGCAGTGAAGGGAAGGTGCAGAATTCAGGAAGTTATGAAATAAGGTACTTTAAAATATAATACATCCTTTCAGAACCATTATCCACTTTTTTCTTAGTCTTTAAACTTCCACCTATCTTGATTTTTCAAAAAATCTGACCTATTTCTACCAAAATAAAATAGAGTTAGAGGCTGTTTAAAAAAAGTCTATGTTCTCCACTGCTGTAGAGTTTCATTTTTTCATCTAAACCCAGAAATCTTATTTGCCGGTATGTTTTGCACTTTATGCTTAGCACCCTTTCCTCCTGTTCACAATATATACATGCTTTCTCTTTTTCTATTTAAATCTATATCCTTTGCTGCTTCAAATATGATTCATTTGTTCGATCTTTAAACTCATCGTACATAATCTTTGCAGCTTGTTCCATTTTACCCAGACTTCTAGCTGACAGCCATTTTAAAATCACTTCCAGTGTTTTCAACGATCCCTTCCTAGCCAAAGATCAGAATTAAAAATGTCCTCATCCTCCCCAACAGTCAACCATGATTGTCTTGAAATCTTTGTTTACTCCTGCTCTTTCCTAGTTCTCTTCCTATTTCTGTAACTGCCCTTTCAAGTGTGTCCAAACTTTGGAGCACCACTTAATCCTTTCTCCAATTTGAACAGGGTTCTCTGCAGATCATCTGTCCACATTTCACATCTCCTGCTACTCTGATTCACAAACATAACTCCATACAGACAAGGCAAATATCTAACTTCTAAAGTCTCAGACTTTCTTTTGCCATACTTAGATATCTCTGTAGCCATCAATCAAGCAGACTGAAATTATTTTTTTTCTCCAGCAGCTTTCCTCTTAGTTACAGAGGACATAGTCACTCTCAGCAGCCTACTCTATGATGTTACTTCTTTTACTGATTGCCTTTTATAAATTATATTATTATGCTTTCAAAACTATCCATGGTCCATCTCTAAAATACCTGCTCTCATTCACTACTGGGGTGCCAACACACATAAACAATGTGTGCTTCATTATGTGTGCCTTATTCCACTACCTGATTTTAACCTAAACAGAGAGTCAGCTTTTGAGATTACGCCAATGACGCTTCCTTCACGTTCGGTTTGAGATCCCCACAAAATTCTGCAAAACAGAGGTACCAGTCTCCTTTAAACTATTCTCTATAATGCATATCAAAACAGTCAGCCATTAAGAGATTTTTTTATCTCTTATGTCAGTGGAAAGCATCCGCCTCCCTCAATTGTTTCATTATTTCTTGTTTATTGTTATATACTTAAGATTTAGAGTCTTTAGATTAAAGCCATCTTAGCCTTATACGGTACATAACACAAAGAGGTTCTGATCAAAGAATGAAGCTAAGTACTATAATACAACCATGTCATTCACATCAACGATATAATCATTAACGAAATTGTTCACTGTCACGTTTGAAAGATCAGTCCATTTTTAAAACATGTACTTAAATGAATCTGTAATGTTAATCAGACAAAAAATGCAAGCCCCTTTTTAATGTTTTAAGCTACAGTATGAATGAAAAATCATTGACAGGATCTTTAGCTGTCCAACTCAGTATACACAGCTTTAGTAAGCATCACTCCTTTGTATAAACATGTATGTTTTCCTGTAAGTTTTACAATGTTTTTTAAAAACAAATTATTACACATTCTTGAACTGTATATGCAGACTGATCCAACAGCAAAATCATCCAAACTCAATTCTATTCACTTCTAAATATGAAAGAAGAAATTTAAAGAATAATTTAGAACTTTCAGCTATATGAACCTTTCCAATAATTGTGTGTGCTATGTGATTTTAAAAAAGGCTTCTAGCAAGGTGGAAAATTTGGCAAACAAAACACCATGTTTTCCTAGCAACCGCATAGCAATTGCACAATACAACTAGAGCTTTACTCAGAAAAATCTTTCAACATGAGGAATTACTGTCAAATCCAATTTCTAAACAACAGTGAACTATATTTCCCTACTTCTTTAATCACAGTAAAACCTTCCATCTTCATCGCAGCAAAAACCATAATTTGCAATTCAATATTAGACAGCTCATATGTTTAAAAATTCAGCCTCTCAAAATCACATATCATGAGTCATTTGACTTCAATAACTGCAGGTAAGACAGTAACAGACAAAACAGAAAAAATACGCAAAACTTATGCAAGAGTGGTGTAGTTTCACTAAGAAAAGATGACAGTTAAGCAAGGATATTACTACATGATTACGTAGAATAATGCCACAGTAATTCAAGACATTTGTCCTCAGCAAAATAGTATGTGAACAGTGTAAGACATTTAAGTTAAGCCAACTGATTTTGCACTGACACAGCTGAGAATGCTCACACTCCTCATTTTGTTTTCAGAACTAGTATATTTCAAGTGAAACGTACTCTAAATTAAGATAATCCAGGGAGTGCCTCATATAGAAGAGGGGTTCCACTTCTTCATGGATGTTCTCCTACTGCATCAGCTTTCGAATAACCCTCCTGCATGTAGATGCAGCTACACCACTATACCTAAAACAGATTCCACAGATATGAATTGTACTGGCAGAACAGCAATTTTCATTTCCAATGTGGACAGGTGTGGAAACTTTCCAGGTGTCCATTATCACGTTAAATGAAAATTTAAACTTTAAGTGAAAGGGTTGTTGCAAGTAAGGCACTAAGGACATTTAGACAAGTGTGGTTTGTAGTGAGAGGTAACTTTGTAATATTTTTGTATCAGGGGAAAAAACCCACCCCAAACCAAAAAGATCATAACTGCTTCTCTCCCTCTCCCCACCACAAAAAACCCCAAACAAACACCAAAGCAGCCCAAAAGCATGGTTAGATTTTCCCAGCTGTAACATCTGATGTATTCTCTCTGTATCTTAGCCTTGTTTAAATATGTAATACCTATCTAATAAGGCAAATAAAGCTGAATAAAGAGAACCTTCATATTCTGTCTCTAGATACAAAATAAACTGTTACTTTTCTCATTCTTTTCACAGAATCACAGAATGGTAGGGGTTGGAAGGGACCTCTGTGGGTCATCTAATCCAACCCTGACACCCACCCTTCAGATATTTGTAGGCATTTATAAGGTCCCCTCGCAGCCTTCTCTTCTTCAGGCTGAACAAGCCCAGTTCCCTCAACCTCTCCTCGTAGGAGAGATGCTCCAGTCCCCTCACCATCCTTGTAGCCCTCCGCTGGACTCTCTCCAGTAGCTCCTCATCTTTCTTGAACAGGGGAGCCCAGAACTGGACACAGTATTCTAGATGAGGACTCACCAAGGCAGTGTAGAGGGGAAGGAGAACCTCCCTCGACCTGCTGGCCACACTCCTCCTTTTGATGCACTCCAGGATCCCACTGCCCTTCCTGGCAGCCAGGGCACACTGCTGCCTCATGGTCAACCTGTCATCCACCAGCACTCCCAGGTCCCTCTCCGCACAGCTGCTCTCCAGCAGATCTGCCCCAAGCCTGTACTGGTGCATGGGGTTGTTCCTCCCCAGGTGCAGGACTCTGCATTTGCCCTTGTTGAACCTCATCAGGTTCCTCTCTGCCCAACTCTCCAGCCTGTCCAGGTCACGCTGAACGGCAGCACAGCCTTCTGCTGTATCCACCACTCCTCCCAGTTTGGTGTCATCAGCAAACTTGCTGAGGGTACACTCTAACTCTTCATCCAGGTCGTTGATGAAGAAGTTAAACAAGACTGGGCCCAGTACTGACCCCTGGGGGACACCACTAGTTACCAGCCTCCAACTAGACTCAGCGCCGCTGATGACAACCCTCTGAGTTCTGCCATTCAGCCAGTTCTCTATCCACCTCACTGACCACTCATCCAGCCCATACTTCCTCAGCTTCCCTAGGAGGGTGTTACGGGGGATATATTTGTTGTAATGAAGTGTTCAAATGCATGATTTTTCTTTTAGTACATAATGAAAAGCCCAGCTAGTTTGCTGCTGAAAGTCTCTACCTTTTCCTTCACTAATTCACTGACAATAAAATCCATTTCAAGCACTGTTCATGCTTATCTTCTGTCAGTTCTAAACAAGAACTCCTTTTCATTACTCACAGCTTTCTTGCTCACTGCAGACAAGTCTACAGCGCAATTTACCAAGGCCATCTTACTGAAGCCATATGTGTTAACTTTTTGTTATTGTTCCATAAAGCAATAAGTCAACTGTTGTAAACACAGTCTGTTTCTTGTAAGGTAAGGAATAGATAGCACACAGCTTTGGTGAGACTAAATAAAGAGTTAAAGCTATCTGACTGAACTTGCTCTGCAGTGGACCAGAAGTATTCACAGTATCTGTTTCAGTGGGAGTCCAGTAACTTCCAGAGCAAGGTAAATGACAAACAAGGCAGCGACTTCTTGATCCAGAAGAGCCAAGTGTATATGACTTGAGACAAATAAATGGAACAGTTCAGTATTTTTTTCTGGTATTACTCGATTTCTTTGTAGCAAAAGGTGGGGACTACAGAAGAAGTCAGACCACACTACAATTTATACAAACTGCACAAAAATGGAGTTACTGGAATGCTTAATTAACTATTGTATTTGCTCAGTAACGTGAACACTACAAAAAAGTTACAATTTTGGGTAGCAGCATTATGTGTTCATATGTCAGTTTGATTCCACCTACTCTTGCCTCTGGAAACTCTCCAGGAGGAAAGTTACACTTCGTGATTCCTTTGTTACTGTTCTGTTCTACTTGTTTCCAAGAACTGTTTTAAGATACATACTAGTTAAATTTAAAAAGGTTGCCTAGTCCCAAAACTCTCAAATGATTGTAATCACACATGCCAGTTCTAATCCTAATCCCAGTTAAATTGCCTAGGGATAACTGATATGCAAATATTTGAAGTTACAGTGAGAGATACACAATGCTAAGGCAACAGATGTCAACATCTAAGGCAGACACATATGCAAGTGTGTCCAGGCCAGTGTCACATGTTAAACCAGCTTAAAGGTGCAATTCTCTGCCCTTGGTACCACATTGCCTCTGCCTTTGTGCCAGCACAAATGCTTGTGTGATCTCTTAATAAACCAGACCACAGGTCTCTGCTGGGTTAAAGCCACCCCTCCTTCATACATGAGTTTTAGCTGGGTTATTTCTACGAGGTAGTTCCTTGCACAAATACTTGACAAAGAAAGAAGCAAGGAAATAGGACAAGTGCTACTTCTGACAGCAACACTAACTTGAAACATGTATCGAAACAGCTTCACACATCAGAGATGAGAGAGAAATACAAAAGGCCTCACGGCCTAGACCACCATGGTACCCATGAATTTTCTTGTCGAACTTTTATTTTTAATAAAGACTTTTTACACCACCAAGTAACTCCAGTCATCACTGTTTTACACTCCACAACAACAACAACAACCAAAAAAGCATTTAAAATCAGAGATTTGTTTAAAAGGAGAGAAAATAATTACATAACCAAATTAAACTGAAAAGAAGAGCATAGGGAGTACACCTCCTTCAATCAGAACTGAGTCAGGATACTGCACAAAACAATGTCTTCTGCAAACTCTTTAAGGAAAAGTTGTCAAGACTCCTAATGTAACAGTTAAAGCAGAATTGTGCAGTAGCATGTCTGAGCACTTCTTTGTTGCAAATGCCTGGACTGGCCGGTGGGAGGGAAGATACGTATTGCATGCTTTCTCCAACAGCTGTGTTGAGTATCTATTCAGAGATGAACTAGATCAAATTCTAATGAAGTTCTCCAAGTAGGAAAGTAATTTACAGTTTAGGACATGCAGCTCTTTACATGTCAGCCTACACAACCTCCATGCTGTCAAATCTTAATTTCCAAGGAGTTAAGGAAAACCCTAACACCTTCCCATTTACATGTTAAAAATACAAATATGACTGAATCTCCCTAATAATTCCACCTATGCCTAAAAATTAATTTCTGAAACTAATGAAAAGAGCAAAGAATTCTCAACCAAAAAGAAAATTCCCATCTTGTAAAAGCTTTACTAAACCAAGAAACATACACAAATAACTATGCTAACTAGTCCTCAAATAACTATTACTACTAAAAGCAGAAGTGATGAAGTTTGCTTTTTGAAATCTGAGGCAGTGAAAAAAGTATGCTGTCAATAGATTTGAAAACGAAACTTTAAACCATAACAAGAAGCAGCATATGCAGTGATGAGAACGTGATATCCTCTGGAATACAGATTAAAAGTCTTCAAAGAAAACTCAGAAACTTGAACAGATTTAAGGCCTTTTCACAACCTCAGGTAAACCCTGGGAAGACAGTTCAACAAGCTGTAACTAAAGTGTTTTGCTGGAATGATGATGAGAAAACCATGATGGATCCCAATATTAAAACTCTGTGAATGAGTTCCGCGTGTCCAGCAGTCCACAGGATTTCCCACATGATCATACCGCATCTCCAATACTTTCAGAAGTTAATTTTGTTTTCTTCCTAAAAATTTCTTCAAAAAGTCTTTCTAGAGTGCCAGTGCTCAACTGTGTCATTCAAGGACAGTGCCATCACAACATACATGGCCAGTATCTGCCCTTCAAACACACTACTTCTGACATTATTGTTCATAGCAATTTCCAGAGGAGATCATTCTGTCTTGAACCAATTTTTCAAAAGCTTTAATTTCAGATGTATTCAGAGGTGAAACAGCATATACTAATCTATTCTAAATGCAACCTGTTTAACACTTACCTGCGCAGTTTCTGTCATCTTCTGTTCAAAATCAGATTTAAATGCAGCATATTTCTCCACGTATAGTTTATAGGTATCTGTAGCTTTCTTTGATTTAAGTGCTGCCTGTAAATCAGTACAAAGAAGTGTCAAATGTCACACAGTCTGATCCAATGTTTTTAAAGTCACTATTAAAAGAAAGCCTAGGATGATCTATGACAAAATTTTCAGGGGTATATCAAAACGGTGAAGTGTCATAGCAAAATTTCACCGCCAAATATTCAGATAAAAGCCATTAGAGATTTCTGTTTAAAGCTATACATAAATCAAACAGTAAGGTAACAAAGCAAATACCTCATTTAAATCCCTTCCCCTTATCAGCAATAACAAATTTATAACATACTTATTTTGAAATCAAATTCGTATTGCTTACATTAACTAACTAGCTCTTGTCAAATATTTAGATCTGCAGCAGACGAACATGAAGAAAGCAGGGTTAGAATACAGAGCAAACAGTTATCTGTACAATTCTGACTCAATGGTAAAAAAAACAACCAAGAAGGTGCAGTTCTCTGTTAGAAATGAAGGAAGAAATTAAAAAGTACAGGTATTACATCATTGGAAATTTTCAGATTAAGAGACATCTGAAGGTGAAGTTAATGCAGAACATACTGATGGCCAGATTTATGCAGCTCAGTGTTGTTTATAATAGTGCTTTTTGGCTGTATACCTTTTTTTTCATTATTTGTTGCTAATAAATCAAAATCATCTTTCTGGCAGTTTAATACTGTTAAAAACCAAAACAAAATACAGGAGAATCCCAATATTACATGGAGAACAAAACTGAAAGAAGCGAATGTTTGTGGTAGAGAAAAAGTTATTTTCAAAGTTTACAGCATGAGACACATGAGATGGAGTTTTTCAAACCTTTGACATTCTTGCTATTTCCAAGTCAAAAATGAATGAAAATAAAACCTGTCTTGAACGCCTTTGTTCAACATGCCTAATACATCTCATTGAAATTTCCCATCACTTGCAATTCAAAAGTATTCCTGAATTGTTAATGACATCAGTAGAGAAAGCTGTGTATTTACTATTTGTTCCAGTTCTGAAAAACCCCTCTTTCAAACTTATTTCACCTGTCCCACAGTATAAACAGAAACTATTTCTCACTTGCAATGACTTGCAAAGCTGACCACTGTCCATAACTTTCAAATGAATTAATACAAAAATGCTCTCTGGAAAGAGCAAGTTATATTCTGCGTTTTCCGAGACAACAATAACTGAAAATCATGGTAACAGTATAGAATTAGCACTTGTTCACCTTGGGAAACACCAACCAGGACTTCAAAGGAAGAGGAACCAAAGCTACAGTTCCATTTTTCTAGATAGTCACGTAGACTTCTAAACCCAGCATAACAGAGCCTGAAAATATTACACTGTATGAAGAATCTGGATACTTCAGGCATTAAAAGGAGAGCATGACAGGTTTTATGAAACCCACCAGACACTTGTCCTGAATTTTACTTCACAATTCTTACTCTGGCACATTCACACAGGGAAATTACCAAGAAAACAGTCCTACCTTATTTCCCAAATGCTATTTACTACACTGAAAGTACAAGGTGCTCTACGAACACTTGCTTTTAAAAATAATTATGACTGCTTTGCAGTAAGATGATTCCAAATTAACCATTGAAAAGGAAGTTAAAAGACATCAAAAATAAGTTTTTTCATAAAGCATTATGTAATTGAACCCAACATGCACGTGTCCTGGGTTCAGCTGGGACAGAGTTGATTCTCAGGAGCTGGCTGGGCTGACCCAAACCGCCAATCAAATGGGATATTCTATGCCAGGTGAGGTCATGCTCAGTATTTCAGTGGGGAGCTGGCTGAAGGAGGGGCTTTTGCTGCTCAGGAGCAAGCTGAGCGTGGGGTGGTGAGAACACTGCACGTTGCAGGTGCTTTGGGTCAGTATTATTGATTGCTGTTTTCTTCTCCCTTTGCCATGCTGTTAAACTGTTCTCATCCCAAGCCATGAGTTTTTTGCCTTTTTCCTTCTGATTCTCCTCCCCATCCCACCGGGGAGGCGGAAGGCATGAGAGAGTAACTGCCTGGTTCTTTGTTGCAAATTCAGGCAAAACCACAACAGCATGGGATTTTGTCAAAACCAAAACATGCTCTGTCTCTTGTAATCATGTTTAATGATGAGCAGAATCTGAGTGTTATGCGCTGAAGGGTATCTACAAAAACCAACTACTCAGCAGGACAGACAAAATGATAAAACACTTGAACATTGTATGATTAACTAGTTATCTCTTCTGACAACAGGATGTGTCTGTTATCAGGTGCAGCAATTGCTAGAACTCTATTTAGCAGACTTACAGTAAGTGAAAGAATAAGGATCAGTCAAGAATTTTTTGTCAAGTCACTATAAATACAGAAGTTCACATTCAGACAACAACAGGAAATTATGACACAAGTTAACACCAAATGTCACGTGCAATAAAAATTGCAACGTCTTGGACACCTCCTCAGATATTTCAATAAAGTATTTAAGTGTTTGGCTTTGTGATAACCTCTTAGCATATTGGTGCAGATCTGCTGCTTTCTGATAAAGCAGATTATTCTGCAATTTTGACAGAAAACATTTTTCATGTTGTGCTAAAAGTAATAAGCCTATTTTCTGCCAAAGGAAAAAAAAATGAATAAAATCTTTGTCACCATGTTTCTGAAATTACAAGTGTAAATTTGAATAGAGACATAACTGAAGAGATGTGACGGTCATGGTTACCTGCTCCCCCTGGAAACATTTTTTTAAGTACTTGCAGAGCGTTTAACTATGGCCTAATTGTTCAAATGGAAGTATATATGGAAGACACACAAAACAGTAAAAAATGGCCTTCATCTTATAGTGCTTCCTCTTTCTCCCTTCTCATGTAGACATCAGTCAAACTGAACATTTCTTTTTTCCAACTGAACAAGGATAATATTACATCTTAAATACAGGCCTTCCATCAAGTCAACTTTTCCCACTGAAGTTTCACTATTTACAAGAATTTAGAAAAATAATCCTTGGAATAGGCTGGCAGGAAAACATCTATCAATCCCCATATTTCTGATTCATGTCTAGAATCTAACACTGACTATCAATTGAGATGGAAGCTAGGGGAAAAAAAAAGATTTGTATCAAAGATAAAACAATCAGAACACAGTCAACAGGATCACCTTTGTCATCAGTGAAAAGACAATAACCATCTGCTCCATCAAGATAGCAGTATAAAGAGCTCTAAGATCATTCTAAGAAGAACAGAGTCCTACACAGATCAGGTAACTGAAATGGAAATAGGCAGAGGTATAAAGATTTTAAAAGAGAAGGCATAGGTAGAGACAGGGAAACATGACCTCTTTCCTTTACTAGTTAGTTTTCCAAAAACAGGAAAAAGTTACAGTGATGCCAGCAGGTTGAAGGAGGTGATCCTTCTCCTCTACTCAGCACGGGTGAGGCCACACTTGGAAGAATGGGTCTAGTTCTGGGTTGTGCATTGCAAGAGAGACATGGACATACTGGAGAGAGTCCAGTAAAAGGCCACTAAGATGATGCAGGATCTGGAGCATCTCTACCGTGAGGAAAGGTCGAGAGAGCTGGGATTGTTCAGCATGGAGAAGAGAAGGCTCAGGGAGGATCTCAACAGATATACCTGAAGGGAGGGTACATAGCAGACAGAGCCAGGCTCCTCCCAGTGGTACCCAGTGACATGACCAGCAGCAAAGGGCACAAACAGAAACACAGGAGGTTCCCTCTGAACATCAGGAAACACTTTTTTCCTGTGAGGGTGATTAAGCACTGGCACAGGTTGCCCAGGGAGGTTGTGGAGTCTCCATCCTCAGAGATATTCAAAGGCCATCTGGACGCGGTCCTGGGCAACTGGCTTGGACAGAGTGATCTCCAGAGGTCCCTTCCAACCTCAGCCATTTTGTGATTCTGTGAATGGATCAAACTCCCCCATAACCCAAGGATAGTACTAAATCAAACATCAAGATACTCATCCCTTGGGTTTCTGACCATGAAATTGGAAACTTTTAAATTAGCACTAAAAGTAATGTTAACTTTTTTTTTTCCTCAGCAGCACAGATTTTAAACACTCATGTAATTAGCTACGTTGTCTCACTGAAGGGACAACACAAAACCTCCTACTTCTTAATTCAATAACAAGGGCATTGAGCGTTCGCGTATTTACCCAAGGAAATCTATCCAAAACACAACAGATGCTGAAACAATTACACCAATTTCTATAAAAGTCACTAAACAAAATTATCATAAAATGCAGATATTTACAAAATAAAGAATTAGAACTGCTGTGCAGTTAGAACAGATAAGGAAGTAAGTGTAAACAAAAGATAACTAGGTATTCAAATTATCATGTACATTATGAAGTAGCCACAACTATACTCCTAATTACTTTTAGCCCTTTCTAAGCATATCACTTACTAATACAAAGTGAATGTGTTACTGATTGACAACACAATGAATTAAAAGTAAGGTGTCACAGAACTACCTTATCAATGTCTCTCTGTGTTGCTCCTTCCTTTTTCAAACGTTCTTGTTCGACACATTTTGCGTTATAGTTTTCCTTTGATTTCTGTAAGGCCTGAGTGATACTTTGAATATTTTGTACTGCTTCCAATGTTCCTGAAACGTCTTCTTTAGTCTGCCAAATGTCAGACAGTTGTCAAAACCAAACCATTTTAATTTTAACATTAATAAGTCATCGGATATGCGTTTAAAAAAATAATAACCTTTTTATAAGATTTGATTTGTTCATCTCCATACTTGTGAACTTCTTTTATTAGCTCTTGTAATCTCCTCACAAGATCCAAGTGACAGCTTGCTAGTTTTTCTGTTGAGGTTTTGAAAACATCCCAGACTGGTGCAAATGTCCTAGATTGAGGAAAATAATATTTAACATTCATCTGTATTTTTTCCTTTTAGTTGGCTATGTTTTTTTTTAATAGTGCTAAAACACTATTATAATAAATAATAACTAAATAATATTTAACTAAATAATATTTAACATTCATCTGGATTTTTTCATTTTAGTTGGCTATGGTTTTTTTTAATAGTGCTAAAGCATGATCGGTAAGTTTACAGAAGTTCACTTCTGTTCCTAAAAAAACCCCAACAACTGCTATAAAATCTTATTAAAATATTATATGTTTCAAGTATATCTGAAACATATATATATGAAGTATATATGCTTCAGATATACTTGGAATCCCACCTACTAATATTTCCACAATTCATGTTTTACCTAGTATTCCTACAGACGATGCAACAGCAGTTCAAAATAATTTAACATGTAGACATTTTTATGCGCATACTTGAACAGTGAAAACAAATCAGAAATTACTTGTTAGTTAAGTTTCTGGTTGTCTTACATCATTGCAGCCACAAGACGCAGCAAAAAAATACTGGCAAAGGTGGTCTGCCACTAAAAGGGATTTACTGATTAACAGAGATTAACTGTATGGCAAAGACAGGTGGGGAACAGGTCTGGTTCAGACTTCTATACTGAATGGACTTCAGCTATTCTAAAGAAACACTCCTATGTCAGTTTACTGGTTAATGCTACCGAAAAACCAATACTATGCATAGCCTTTACAGCACTGATGTTCAAACTAACATGCAGATACAGAATCTTTGAAGAGCAGTAACAACTGGTATCAAATCACCCACTGACAAAAGCTCCCCATATTTCTAGCTGTGGTTACTACAAATAAAAAAATCTAGACTCATCGAAGATGTCCGAGTTCTCATTGGCGTAATCCTTCCAATGAAAAAAGATCCATTAGTCATTCCAGTTTTTAAAAACATACCTCGTGTACAAAACTGTTGTTAAATTGTGGAATAAATCTACTGAAAACTATCATTCTTAACACATCTGAGGACAGAGATAACACTCCAGAAAGCAGAAATAACAGAACTAAATAAATTTACTGCCACATTTGTGGACCATATCTTCTCTGTTCAGCATAATTACCACAAGCTTAGAAGCACAAAATAGAACGTCACATTCTTTATTATGTCTGAAAAGATATCAACCTTAAATATAGAGGAACAGACAGTTCCTCCGTGTTTGGGCTTTGATTTTTTTTTTCAGATTGTGAATAAAGAACTGTAGTGTCTTTGGTTTTGTGCTACATGACATTTTGCATAGTTACTGAAGAACTCACAATCATTTTTAAAGGTGCCAAAGTTATGCTACTTTCAACATCATCAATAAAATATGCAGAACCAAACGATTCTTAACATGTATGCAGTTACTGATCTCACTTACGTACACTTACTTACCCAAGTTGTGTGTAATTGCTCGCTGATTTGGCTAGTTTTGTCATTGACCTCGAATATGTCTCCTCTATTGTAGCCCTGTCAAAGAAAGCCATCAAAGCCATAATCAAAATTTGAAGATATCTGAAGACAGATGAATATGCATTCTAAAGCTGCAAAAGAGAGGTTTTTTACTTTAGCTGAAAGCAACTCCATTTTAATGACTCCTCAAAAACCATACGCAAAATCACAAAGTATATTTAAAAAAAAATACCCTGTGACAGAAACCAGTAAAACCTAGGGACTCAGGACTTGAAAAAAGATGATTCCTTCCTTCCTGCACTCTGCTGTTCCCCTCTACCTTTAACATTCTTTAGTAATAGTCAGAACAAAGTCACATAACAATTACCTGCCTAGCACTGTCTAAACACCAGAGATTTACAGAGCAATGAAGTCAAATATATTTGTACTGAAAACATTACAGTAAACAAACGGAATGCTTTCTGAGCAATCACTTTAAATAAAATGGGGTCTTTTCTAGTCTTTTTGTAGGGGGGATTAGTTTTTTGTTTGTTTGCTTAAGTTCTTTGCATAGTGATATTTGAGTTTGGAAAAAAGTAAAATAACATGCAAAGAAAAGTATTGTGTTCTACTGTTTATACTCATTTTTTTAAGAGGGTTGTCTCAATACATTCTGATTTATTTTGAATAACCTCTTTCCCACATAAAGTTTAATTATATTTTCCTGCACTCAAACCCACAATTTTACTTGTCCTCTGGAGATTCAAAACCCACGGGTCAGCACAGATTTCCTCCTTAGAGCCTCTGCTGGGGCAATTGTCATGGAATAGCAGTCACACACAAGGTACCACAGCAGTGACTCCCTACAAGTCCCTCCCCCATCAATCTTCCTCACCCTCATACTACTAAGGTAAAGATACATGCTGTTTTAATATTCCACCCTAAATCAATGTTCAATGTGTAGTGTCAACTTAGATTTAGAAGCTTCCTGGATTTGAGTAAATATTATAATTGCCTTTTCTTGAAAAATGCAAAAGCTTGAAGCAGTTTCTTTCCTGCTGTGTAACAGCTTTATTCAGGGGCAAAAAGAGATAAAAAAAGGGAGATGAAGAATTTAGCCCTCTCTCAAGTTATGACTGTAACCACTCAAGTCATGACTACAACCACTTCTTGCTGAGGCAGAGGATTTTATTTCTCCTTTACAGTAACACTTTCCAAGCAAAAAGAATTTTCTTACGAAAATCCAGTACAAAGTTGCAATAGTCACCTGAAACAGAGGGGCATGTATTTAAATGTACTGAAGTAACTATCCAGTCAGCTGGAAAATTGATTGGAAGAAGGAGATTAAACTGTAAAATGCAGTAACTCAATTACATTTTAAATTTCACCTACAAACAACTGTGAAGTTATTCACCACAAAAGAAGTCAAATAACTTTATCCTCCTTTCACATATGTCAGTATTTTTGATGATATGAAAAAGTTTATGTTTCCAAGGTTTGGAATTCTTGCTCACTGCACAGCAACAAGCAGATACACAGAGACACCCAGAAAAGACATTGACGTTTCATGAATTACCACGATAAACAATATTTTTTGATTAATTATCAATAGTTTCTATCAAAGTTTTCTAGATTTGATAGTTGTGCCTTTTTTATTTTCTTTAAACACAAGATTTCTGACCAAATTCCATACTTCTCTTCTTTGCAACAATTTACAGCATACTGAGCTGAGCAATCTCTACAAAACTGGAGTTCTGCAATCTACCACACATTATCAACATACAACAGTTACAAGTGCTAATAACTGACAGATGCTGTTAATGACCAGTTGGGCATGTGTACCTACACTTGTCCTATCAACTGACTTCCCAGAGCAGTCTGATGTACTAGTAATACACTCTGAATGCCTCAGTAAATTAATTTTCACCCGTTTAAAAATCCGTCTTTGCTTGGGATCTGTTGAACATCTACAAGTTAAATGGGAATATATGCATTGACAGTTTCTTGTGATGAAGGAGATTATTTTTATGATACTTACAGGCAAGTGGCGCAGAAAAACATTTGAAAGACTTCTGGAGAAGAGCCAGCACAATACTTACTTAGTTCCTAGCTGAGCACAGTGCCTTCTTACACGTAAACACTTTAGGTGTTAAATCTACACAAACATAAGACAGTTCACCCACAAAATCTTCCCAGTATTTAAAGAAAAAAAACCCGCGGGGGCAGCCCAACCTTCCTCTATTTTCATTTCTTAAAAAACAAAATTTCTACATGCTTTATCAAGAACTGAACAAAGATATCTTTCAACAGACAACTAGATAACCTGACTTCTTTCTTAACCACAGATCCAACCTGTCTCAGTTCTTCTAGTACTTGACAAACACTCAAAAACAAAAAAGTGAAACAACACTGTTGAATATTAAACTGGTATTGACTAGCTAAACACAACCAAGGAGGAAACCTTCTGCTCCTTCTATGGATATTCAGCTGGAACAGCAGATACAGTACAGAAATATTAAGTTATTACAAATGAATGTATATCAAACATTTTGGTTTTTTTTGAGAGGAAACAACTTCGCAATTTCAGAAGGTTCTTAGAGAACTATTGAAAGATAAGTCTTTAAAAAAAAAATCCTTAAACTGACAATAACAATAAAATAATCCCCCACCCTATAAAACTTTTCTTTTTTCATTACTATTTCTAAGGCTGGAGAACAATAGACTCTTCCCCATTTAGGCTGCACACAACCAGAACACTATTCTGAGCAGTGCAAATAGCAGACAGTGGCTTCATACAGACGTGTCCTTTGAGCCCTAAGGAGTATGTACATCCAAATACATGCAGCCATCTTTGCTTTCTCTTCTAGGTCACTCCACAAAAAGCGAATTCTCTGGCTAGTCTAGAGACTCCAGCAATCCTGACTGACCAGGTTACTACTGTCAAACAGCACATACAAAGGTTAAGTCCTCTAACTCGTGAAAAGTACTATCACTAGCCCATATCTGTCTCCTCTACCCATCCAGCAGTTTTCAGTTTTCACTTTCCTACGGCTTCACTTCTGAAAAAAGTGGCCAATACATTCAAAAGGAATGGAAGGACAGATGTGAAGAAAGTTAAAACGGATGTGAATTTAGTTTTCACAGGGAACAGTTCAGAAAACCAGTTACATAAATGTGAGGGCATAAAAACACTAGATCTAGGAGGATTCTAATAAATACTGTTCATCTGCTTACACATTTGTAGCAGAAAAAAGTACTGCAAAACAATATTCAGGCTATACTCTGCGAAGGAAGGAAGGGAACAGATAATTGTGTGCCATCTCTCTTAATCTTTGCAATAAACAAAGACACAAAACAGAATCTGGTCAAGACAACTGGACTGTTGTAAAATAGTGCTGAAGTACTGCCCAATCTAATTGCTTCTGAGATCAAGAATTTGACCTATATGAATAAAAGTGTGCTACTGAACCATATTTATTTTCTGGGAAGTCAACTAACATCTCACAGGTAACTTCACAGCGGTAGTGAAGGACTGCACTACCTAGATATGGACGCTTGTAAACGTTTTCACTAGAGTACACAAAATATTTAAGGTCCATCTATTTCTTTGACACTACAAACTGTATGCCACAAACTACTGTCAGCCTAGACTGAGATTGATCAGCGATTCACCCCTCAGTTGAAAAGTAGTACTTATTTGGCATTCAGCTGCTTTTTTAAATGGTAGCCTGGCACACTGAGACGCATCAGTAAAGCAGAGCTGAAGAAAACACAATGGAACAGATAGGATACCAGGCTTAATATCCTGATGGAAGAAGTTCACTGGAAAGGAGTGAACTTAGTGCTGCTAGTCAGTATCACTGAAAGATGTTTTCCAGTCCCAGGGCAAGTTGCTCCTGAGGAACTATGCTGAAGCCTTGTTAAATAAATTAAAATGTAGCACTAAGACTCTAGTGAATCTTGGTGTGTTAATGGGAATGGAAATTTTTCAAATATTTTACCAAAAATGCTGCCAGATGGCTGCATGTCTCTGGCATATTCTGACCTATGCAAAAACCGGCTGCAAAAAAAGATCTGAGGGCTGGAACACTTCTTCTACAAAAAAGGCTGAGAGAGTTGAGGTTGTTTAGCCTGAAGAAAAGAAGGCTCTGGGGAGACCTTATAGCAGCCTTCCAGTATCTGAAGGGGGCTTATAAGAGAGATGGGGACAAACATTTTAGCAGGGCCTTCAGCGATAGGACAAGAGGTAATGGTTTTAAACTAAAAGAGGGTAGATTCACAGTAGATACAAGGAAGAATTTTTTTACAATGAGAGTGGTGAAACACTGGAGCAGGTTGCCCAGAGAGGTGGCAGATGCCCCATCCCTGGCAACATTCAAGGTCAGGCTGGACAGGGCTCTCAGCAACCTGATCTACTTGAAGATGTCCCTGCTCATTGCAGGGGGGCTGGACTAGATGACCTTTAAAGGTCCCTTCCAATCCAAACCATTCTATGATTCTATAAGAACAGAAAATACATTGCTTGATTTCTCATCAAGGATGAAGTGCCCATGTAGATTCGCATGTATTACCGCACAGTCATCAGTCCTGAGTCTTAAATGTTGTTTAAACTTGTTTAACTAGGACAAAAATAATTGTCTCCTTCTTGACAAATCACTAGAATTAATCAGCAGAAACTTCAACTCAAACATTTTTAATATGTGGAGAAAGGTCCAGATATTTTATTTATTCATTGATTGCAAAGGCACATCTCCTTTAAAATTTAATTTGAAGGAGCTGATAGAGTGAAAAAACCTAGAACATCACATTCTTTTTACTAGGAATTTTGTGCAGAATGAACTGTCAAGTTTTATTTGTGTCACTGTAATAAAGCAAAGAATCCAAGCCAGATACAAGCATCACATTACTTTACCCATTTGTATAAGACCTTTCACCTTAGGATCAGTATAAATAAAATGGACCATGACCAAAGAATACAACATAAAGCAGATAAGAAGCAGAGTGAGTTCAAGAGCTTCTGATCTAAATATGGAAGTAAATCAAAATGCAACGGATGTAAAAGTAATAAAATTAAATGTGTCCAGGTGCTGTACAGCTTAGGTCTATGATTTACTGCTATAAAAATTGACTGATTCCAAGAATTAAAGCAGGCTTCAAAGGAAAGATCCATGCACTCACAAAGATAATACAAGGCAAACACTTCTAATGGTCAATATTAAAAGCGCAAGCTTGTGAAGCCCTAAGCATTTCATACTAAACATGAGCAGTGTGATATCCCTCCGCTCAGTCCAAAGGAAGATTTCACTGAAACGCTGTCTGGTTTCACAATGTGTTCTCTGGAATCAAGGATTCTCGAAACGCAAGATTCCTTGGTTTGTGTAGTCCTTCCAACAGGAGTCTGACCATCATACATGTATTCCAGAACTTACCCATTTCTACTCAGTGGGAAGATTTTTGTCATCTTCTCCAATTCACTTTGAAACTACACAAAAGTTAGTGCAACTAAGTAAATCTTTGTTGAAATCTTTTTCAAGACAAAACTGAAATTTTGATGAAAAATTCCAGGCAAAAAGGCTGATTATTTGGACAGCTTTTACTGCAAGAAACCTTCACTGAAACATGTCCTCAATCAGTCTCTTGCAAGTTTTTTCCATCTATCACCTAGTGTCAGTAACTGAATTAAGACACAATTCTGAAGCAGGCATATAATTAATTTTGTCCAAAATGGAAATTCTTATGTTCAATGTAGCAGCAGCAGTCTTCTTTTGCAAAGAAGAACTAAAAATAGCACTAGGTCATCTGTTTTGGAAACGGTCACATCTGCAGATTTTAAGTTCTGTCTCTTTCATTCCACAAGAAGAACCTGTATTATTTTCTGCATATTATTTTCTTGTCCCTACATATCACTTCCTTTTCTTTAACAAACAGCTTCTCAACATATTAATCTGAAAGCATAATTTTTTAATATCATATCAGCAGTTGCTAATAACTTAATTGTACATCTACAGTCAAAACCTTTGTAAGACTGATAATTTCTGCTCCTTTAAATTATCACTTTTCTTCCAAACATGATGAAAAACTAGGATTAATTTAAATAAACTGCTGGACACCTAATGTGACAATTCTAGCTTTTTACTCTTGTTTTTTACTCATACCTGAAAAACTAGAAACCTGTTATTAACTGATGCTTAAGAGTCACTATTCAGTCCTAAGTGAATGGAATAAACCTAGATATTCTTGTAGGATATAAGACATACTTTAAAATGTTCATTGATATTCACATATTTTGTATGTTACTGTTAAACATAATAATAAACTTAAATAAAAAACATAAACAATATATTAAAGAGTCAGGATTATCAAGGATGAATACTTACCTTTCTCTTATAAAGTCTGCTAAGTCTTTTGTTGACAAATGTCCATGTTTCATGTTGTGATAAAGAACATCAAAGCCATTGTTCCTTTCTCCCTAAAGATTAATAAAAAGAAAGCAGAACCATGAAACACAACACGCTAAAGCAATTGCAAAGCAAAGTATAGAACCTATGCATTTTAATAATTGATGAAGTTCCATAAAGTAAATGATCTCTAATCCTTCTGCATTGACCAATTGCTGTTACTTCCCTTCAATCCCGTATACGTAAAACAAACTAGAATCACCTCAGCAGCTACTACTACCCTTCTAATGACAACTCTTCTACTACATATTCCTAGGCTATATTCAAAGCCATTTCTTCTCTAGATCTCTACAGGTCTTGTATTCTTTCACCTACCATCTTACTAAACATATAATTAATATTGTACTCTTCATTCTCTCATATCTGTCATTATTTTCCATGAACTAAAATTCTCACTTAGGGATCACTGGATATCCTGCCTCCTCACTTCCTTGCACTTCATTTATGTTCCTCTGTTTTTTGTAAAACTGGTAAAAAAAATAAAATAAATTGGTAAAAAAAAAAAAGCTAATCTTTTCCTTCTCCCAAGTAACTTCCCTTTGTCTGTTCTTAAGTTTAGTTTTAAAACTTCAAATACTTTACAGTTTAGTTTTCAAACTTAAAACATTTTCCAGCGAGTAAGGCGTACACTAGTAAAACTGAGACACTGCCCTAAACAGTGATTAATAAACTCAGCCAGCTTATCACCTCTGGCACTATGGTGAACTTCCCCCGGACAGGAGAAAGCAACAATAGAAATGAAAGGAAGGCGAGGCAAGGCACAGCATAACAGCACTGCTACTACAAAAGTTTTCCTGTCAAACTATCCATTCCCCTCCTCCCTTCCAAAAGCTTCAGATCCATAACGCTGCTGCTACAAAAGACACGGAAGCTCGCCATCAGGAAAACTGCATGCATGTTCAGAGTGGAAGGGAAAAAGGGATGGGAAGCAGAATACTGGGCTTTTCACAACGGCACCTCTGCATCTCCAGTGAGAGAAGATGGTCATACACCCCCCAAACATTTCAGTCCTTTTTGATCTGGAAAAGTCTGTTTGTAGAGCCGTAAGGCGTACCTGATCGGAGAAATCATACAGCTAAAACAAAAGGCTGGCAAATAGAAACAAAGATCAGTGATCCAGATCGCTATGAGGACACAAATAGCTGCATTGCTCAGCAGAAGAGGTGGGAGCAAGGAGAAGGCAGGCAGGGATCTGCCAGCTTAAGTAAGCAGAAGCGGACACAGGTGGATGCAAGAACTTTGCAGCAGCCACGGTAGTAAGCGCACTTCTGTGAAGTGTTAACTGCACTAGGTAATATATCAGTCTTGTCATTAATATAGCAAGTTGCTTTAAAGGACACCAAGTGCAGACACATAGATTTCCAAACAACAGATGATTGAAAGCTATTTGATTCAGATCACTAGTCAGGATCATTTGCTTTACTTCCTCCAAGCACTGGGGAAAACAAAATCAAACAAATGAAAACAAAAAAAAACAGAACTATAAAATCACAGTTCCTAAAGTTGCACTAAATTGTCACCTGAAAAAGTTCATAAAAATGCAGATCAGTTTAGCATAAGTGCAATTACAGAAAGCTCGGTAAAAAGTACAAGCAGAACTAAATTGGACACATGAAAATGCACCAAACTCTAAAAGGACTATCTACAGAGTAATGCTTTTATAAGCTGAAAAATTAAAGAAGGATAAGAACACCAATTAGTAGGAAATGTACTTTATTTAAATTTTTTCCTTACTCTTTCAAGTACCAGTCTAAACAGTTTCACTCCCCTTTCACACGTATGTAACCATTCTTCCCCGTAGTTTGAAGCCCACAATAATTTTGACTATCAGCACACTAATAGGTAGCTTATTAACTTTGTGTATTTACTTAATATAAACCCTGAATGCCACTGCACTACATAAACGCCAGAATAACTCTATAATTCAGACCTCACTGATATTTTCAATTAGAATACAAAATAAAATTCTTATTTAACTACTCCAAAGTCCTTACTGTACCCAAATTTGGAGATAAGCCTTTAACAAATGTGTGTTAGGCACTTCTTCCAGAAAAACTAATAAAATTCTCCTTTACGGAATGTTCTTTCCCTTTGCCTTAAGGTGTTTCTTCTAGTTAAACTAACACATTGATCTGATGTGCTGAACACAGACTGCTTCTGAAAAGCAACTTTTCATAACGGGAGCTTTAATTGGGACTTATCCATACTGGAGCTCCATAAATTTCCTGCCACTTTACAGGACGGGTAGCATAGCCATGACCCGGCCTCTGGCTGCAGCCTTCCTGATGACTGATAATCTATCAGAAATGTAACTTTGCAAACCTTTAGAGAATGGAATGAGTCAGAGCAATATATTCCCATTATCATCTTGTTCCCTAACTGTAGCTGAAGGTTACTGCAAAAGAACTCATTTTGCTACTTAAATGGAGTTTTCTAATCACTCCTACTCTTGTTTCTGACTTCACGTTGAATAGCAGAAAGCACATCAGAGAAACAGAACAGATACTTACCTCAAATAAAAAAGGTCTCCTGAATGCCACATCTTTTATACATTATCAATAGTTACCAGAGGCTAAGAGGCTATGTGAAAAATACATTACGGTTTAAAGAAAGCAGCAAGTCCAAAGCAGAATCCCAGGTTTGAGGGCCTGTGTGACTGAAGCCTGGCACAACTAAAAGACTTATTTTCACTTGTGAATAAAATGCCGAGTGTAGCCTATCTTATCAATACCAGGCTCTACCTATAAGCACAAACATCTAGACTTTAGAAATGTTCAATAATTTACATGATCTAGAGTTCTGAGGATTAACCTGATGACAATTCTATAAATTATGTTATATTCTACGCACGTTTGGAGACGCATGTATACCCACGTCAAATTAAGTATGGTATCTCAGCGCAGAGAGCAGATATCTTCTGCTTAGGAAAAGCTACACAGCCTATCCACAACTCCTTCATTCATAGTTATTTTTGTGAAGAGTAGCTCAAATAATTCATAGAACAAGCATCAGTGTTAAGGCTCTGTATTTAGGACAAAGACAGAAATGTATGCTGTGGCTCAGAAAAAAGCAATTCGATTTCCAAGGTGTATATCCTCATACCTGCACATAAGCCATCAACACTGTTTATTTTTGGTTTGCTTGTTTTTCCTCAACACTGCTCCTTCTCACACACATTGTATAGAATCCTGCACATGGAAATTGTATGTCTAACAATTTTTTCTTCATTTAAGTGTTTTTACCTGTTCCTTTCTCATGGCAACATTAATAGCTGGGATCACTAAAAGCCCAGTACTGGCCAACTTCAAAATGAATAAATGCAGCACATTGCACAGGAAACTGATAGGGCCTTCCACTTCCTTTCAGAAGCAACTACCATCCACTGCTGTGACAGAAAGACAGTGAAGACCAATGCAGATTCTTCTAGAAATTGCATCTTGGAGAAAGAGGAACCTCTGTTGTCACGTTTAACATCAGGTTCTATGCAACAGACTTCCAGATCAGTTTGAAACACAATTCTGAATGTCATTTTGCAGGTAAAACACCATCTGTTGAGGATGATCCTGTCATTACTCAACAGAAAACAGCTGTAAAACTGTGTATGAGAATAAAAAATGTCAGTGGTCCCCTCTCCATATAGGCTCCATCTAATTACTTTAAAGTTCATTAACAGTGTTCTCCTCCTTCCCTAGAGCTAGCAAAACTCTGTCTTCAGAAGCTTGTGTTCTTGTTGAGGTTTCCCATTTTACACTGCCACAAGAGAGCTCTACTGTGTAGATAGTACAGGTATGTCCTGACAGCAAGCCATAAGAGGAAACAATACAAGTAAGCAGTTCACTTAAATAAGCCCACAATGAGGCATTACTGACCAACTTTGCATACAGAATACACTAAGTCATGGAAAGCAAGGGCAGATGGTCCTTCCATTTCCCTTCATCAAGAACTAACTGCAATCATTTTCTCATGGAAACGAAATTAACCCAGTCAGCAAAGTCAGAATTCAGCATTTCCATGACTTGTGCATAACAGGAAACAGATTACAGGAACTCTGTTTTACTGAGCTACTTAACAGACTTCTAAAATTTTTAAGAATAAGTTAGTTTGTTGCATATGAAGATGATTCTGAATTTAAACCCTATATATAGTAAAGTAGACAGAAATTTATGGGCTATCTGCAGCAGTATTTAATTCCTACATTTCTGATCAAATTGTATGAGCTCAAGCTCTGTCTGCTTTGGACTCAAACTGTCCAATGTTAACGTCTATTAGTGTAAAACATTAATACTCTCTATCACTCTACTCAAATTGAAATTGGTCAGAGATAGTTACAAAAACTGCAAGAAAGGGTTCTTCAGGTACATAAACAACAATCAGAAACAGAATGAAAATATTGGCCTGCTGTTAAACAGGAGAGGTGAATTAGTCACCAACAACACTGAAAAGGCAGAGGTTCTCAACACTTCCTTCACCTCTGTCTTCACCTGCACTGTTGGGTTCCAGGCCTTTGAAATGAAAATTCAGGTCGATGCAAACACAGACCCACCACCCGTGCAGGAAGTGTTGGTATGTGAACTATTACAGGAGCTTGACCCCTACAAATCCATGGGCCCTGACAATATCCACCCAAGGGTGTTAAGAGAGCTGGCTGACATCATTGCAAGGCCACTCTCCATAATCTTTGAGAAGTTGTGGAGATCAGGGGACATCCCAGAAGACTCGAAGAAGGCTAGTGTCACCCTCATCTGCAAGAAGGGCTTAGAGGAGGATCCAGGAATTTACAGGCCCATCAGTCTTACTTCAGTCCCTGGGAAAGCATTGGAACAAACTCTCCTGGGGGCTGTCACATGTCAAACGCAGCATGTGACTGGGAAAAGCCAACACAGATTCACCAAGGGCAAATCATGCTTGACAAACTGATAACCTTCTACGACAAAGCAACCTGCTCAGATGATGTGGTAGACATCATCTACCTGGATTTCTCCAAGGCTTTTGATACAGTTTCCCA